CCAGGTTTATTGAATAATTATTTACTTTATTTATATATATATATATATATATATATATATATATAAGATATATTATATATCTATATATATATATATTAAATATTGTATAACAGGTAGTCGCTAACACTTTCGATATCGATAGTACGCAAGACGACACAAGTATGTGCGCGGGTGACTGGACGCAGGGATACACTACTTGGAGCTAGCGCGTCGCCCGTTGCTATGGTTTCGCTTCCCCGTATGTCATACCGCACCGCACTATTCATCTTTCGTGGCGCAAGCCGCAAGCTATACACTATTCTATTCACCGTACATGGTACTGTTACGGTAAATTAATAGAAACTATCCACCATCTCCTTCTTAGCAATGGGTTATTAATTTTATTTTTAGTAAATGTGTAAAAAATATAGTAGTTCAAAGGCAAAACGCAGCAAGCGGGCATATGGAGTTCAAACTTCAAATGATACAACGAGTGTGTACATGGTGTGTTCTCCGTCGAGCCTTTACGTGATGAGAGGCACACGAGGACATACATCTAGGGTTGCCAGGTCTTTAAACCGAGAAGCCGAACAGACCATCCAGCTTTGCCAGACATTTTGGTAAAAAGGCCGGACACCCTTAATTATTCAGTCTTAGTATAACACGATAATATATTTTTTAAAGTAAAACAATGCTAACCTTATATCATTTACTACAAAATTTTAAATTGAAAGAATCAGTGTTCTTTATTATTAATCATTCAATATTCATTACAATATTAGTTTCAATAATTGCAATAGGTAGTATGTATTTAAGTACATGAAAAATGTAAAAAAATGGTCAAATATAAAAAGCCTGAAAAATGCCGGACAGGCCTGGACACCGTCTAATTTGGCCGGACACGCAAACAAAAAGCCTGACTGTGTCCGCCTTTATCCGGACGCCTGGCAACGCTACATACATCTGTATACAATACAGTATAGCGTAGGTTAGTTCTGTGTTTGTGTTAGGTTATGATTACAAAAATATTAACAGGTTATAGGTATTATAACATTAGTTTAACTGTGTTATGTTATGATTATGATTACGAATATATAACATTTTATAGGTGTTATAATTATAATATGCGCGTGACATCGTCAATATTAGTACTTTTATACAATTTTATGGTCACAAAATATGTAAGTGACTAAGTATTATTGTTCATCACATCACATAATTTTTATGATCCACATCTTGCGTGTAAGCCATTAACTATCCCGAAGGGACTCTTTACTCTCGTTGTGCGAGTCGTATATCGTGTTACGTACCTACCTATATTCATCTTAATAATAATCTGTTCAAAACGAAACGCTTACGCGAGCGCCGGTCGTGGTGTGTGTCAACTGCGTACGTAAAATAATCATTACATTTTGTCCACGAAACTGGGTATACGATTATCAAGCTCGTAAGCAGTTTCTGAAACCGATTATGTTAAATAATGCTCACCTCTAGGCATGTCTCGTGGTGTCTCGACGAGCGTGTACAGCCGGCATAACACTTTTGACTGCCTTCTTGGTATGACGGTTGTAAACGCAACTGGGTTCGAAACCCGAGTGGGGACAGAATCATTTATTGGGTTTTCCTGTCACAAAATTCTCAGTAGCAGCCCGGAATATTGATTTCTAACTTATTGAAGTTGGCGGGGTTTCACCACCGTGCCTCCGGAAGCACGTAAAGCCGCTGGACCTGCGCCTGATCTCTCTCCAGTCGTCTCGGATTACCGTTCCATCGGACTATAAGAGTAAGGGAATGGGGTAGACCTGTGCTTGCGCATACACTTGGGCAATATAATCCTGTCCTGCGCAGATGGCTATTCTCCCATGAGAATGGCTGCCATTACCAAAATTCAATCTGGAACCCTTTATTATATTTTTTAAAATAAAACACATATTTGTTCGAATATTTTAATGATCAAAAGTGAGAATGAGAACTTAGAATCATATAAAATCTGTCTGGTTTTTAATTTTTTCTGAACAGCAAATAAATACTAATTAGAAATAACTTATGTTATTTGATAATTTATTGTAGATTAATTAAAAATTGTCACTTCGTAACTTTAAGTTCAAAAGTGTAGGTTTTCAGAATAATCACGTAACTATACTAGAATTATTTTGTCCGTGCAGTTTGGGTCATAAGTCATCGAAGTATTTCGCTCTCTCTCCCACTCACGGGTCTTAGGGGCGAGCATAGTGATGCGCATTATTGTTGACGATAAGCGTCATCGATAGTGTATTTAGTTTTGTCATTATGTGGGTTAGTGGCAAAAATGAAAAAAATTAGATAAAACAACGTATTAATTAAAATAAGAATAATAATGATTTAAATAAATTATTAATTAGGTATCCATGTATTAAAAAACTACCAGTACGAATGTTTGGAATGTAACAAGTTATATTAAAAATCAATATATGTAAAGATAATAACGTATATCTAAAATTAAATCTAAAACTATTTACATGAAAATTCTACATCAGAATCATCAGAGTCATCGTCATCCACATGAATTGCGATATCTTTTGCCAGATGAGATTTCTTCAAGTCTTTCTATTAGAGTTTTCCTGCATGCTTCACACAATCTTCCCAGTTCTTTTGCGAAACGTTTGAAATTGCTTCATGCAATAACATTTCGACGTCTGCAATTTTAAAAGTGCTGTTTTTGGTGGCAACTTCATCTTTTGCTTGAGCCAACTCAATTGGATAAGGTGAGTCAAGGTGGCAAGGTGGAAAGCGAATCACTTCGTGTCCTGACTCCAAAGCTAACTGATCCAATTTGTATATTTTTCACTGGATCTGGGATCTATTTTCATTTCAGCGAAAACTGTTAAAATATTGTTGATAACAGCACGTGCTTGTGCTGGTATATTGGTGCCAACAGGCAAAATATTATTTTGAGTAAATTCTGCCGTTTTGTTACAAAACAAAGAGTAGCCATTATGTCACCAAAGACATTCAGAGAGCGAATGCGCAAAAACAAATTTCTCTTAGATATATGTACTAAATTATCATTGCACTAATTTGCAGGTATTAGGCGGTGGTAATAATGGAAAACAAATGACTTATAACATAACAATGTCGCCTTCGATGATTCATTTGTTGTTATCGATAATGGCGTTGCGTCCGCGCAACATGCTCACCGCTCTTATCGGGCTGAGTTTGAGCTATGATTTATGATCCCAACTGCACGGACCAAATAATTTTACTATAGCTAGGCCATGCTGGCAAACCTGGTACGCGCGGTGTCATAATGATTGCATGGGTGTCAGAGTTTGCATGATGCTATGCTTTCGTTTGTCAATGCGGGATATTTTTACGTATTTTAGGGACACAAACCTTTAAATCGGGACCGTCTCGCCTAAAGTGGCTTGTATGGTCACGTTAGATATGAGGGAACTTGTATGTAACAGCAATACTTTGAAAAAGTGTCGGCTCCGTAGCGTACTGGCTTGGCAATGAGTGGCTGCGCTGGGGGCCGCGGGTCCGAATCCCGCAGGGAACAAGTATTTGTATGACCTACAAGCAATTGTTTCGGGTCTGGATGTTAGTCCTTGTGCAATTTGTGTTTGTAAACTGCCTTCACGATACAGGAGAAAATCCTAGTGTAGGGGGTAACGTTATAAAAAATACTGGTAAAAAAACACTTCAGTGTGCTTAGGCCGCCTAGTTTATTTTTATGTTGAAAAGTACTTCATAATTATTTTATTTGGACGTCATCGTCCAAAACGCTTGGAATAAAAATTTATAAAAATTGAGTATTTGTTGGTACTTATTAGTTTACAAGAAGCACATTGGACGATAGTGTCCAAATAAAATTAATGTTGAAATAGTTTTCAACGTAAAAATAAACTAGGTTCATACCTCGGTAGGTATGTAGTTATTTTTTACGTTGAAAAGTAAGTATAGGTCGACTCGTAAGTAAGCGTCTATAGGCATAGGTACGAGTCGTATCATATTCTACCTGTCTGTAATATAATATAGGTATCGCCACACGAGAAGGCTCTTTTGATGCACCCAATTATTATACGAAATTATTTTATAAATAAACGCTGGTTATATCAATCAATTACAATATATTTGTTTACTACGTAGATGTATTCAACTATTAGTGGGTTATGAAATAATTCTAAACTTATGAAAGTGCGATCTGCAGCTTTTCGCTAGGCTTGAGTAAAAAATATCAACGATATTTATATATAAATATATATATAAATATATACCGTAGATATTTATAAATCGCGTTATATCGATATTCAATATTTATCGTGGACTATCGAATTCGTATTAATTTCGATACATTTTAAAATTTTGTATTAATCGACAAAACATTAAGCAATAGAAGAAGCTATAAAAACATTCATGTGTCGTTGTCGTTTTTTTTTCGTCATCCAACCGTCCAGTAATACCATTTTGAGCCTTATCGTACTACATTATGTAAAACGTGACGATATATCGATATTCATCACGTGAATATATCGATACTGTTTAAAAATATCGATATGATTTATATCGATATAGTTTTTCACTTGCCCAACCCTACTCGTCGCTATTGCCACATGAGTAGATAAACGGAATATTGCTAGCTATCCGCACACGCGAGGTCGCGAGGGACCCCGTTTGCGCGCCGATCGCCCGCCTGCGTATGCTTCACCCCCGTTAAAACCTGCTTGAACAAGTTACCATTTCGTCTTAAGGCTTTTAGGATTCTCTGTCTACGCTTTAGTTCGTTTCGCTCGTGAAGCGACGATAGCGCCGCCACAGGTTTAAACTTATCTGTGATGAGCACACAGTTAACTTTTTTTTGGAATATGATGTATGTAAGTACTTGTAAGCACCGCGTTTACAACGTACAACTCAATCGTTCATACACCTAAATTTTACCTGAAACCTGAAGCAATCAAATAAAACTGAAATTGAACAAATTTTTTATTAGAATAACAAGAATACCAAAATAACAGTGTATAATTTAATGTAAAACTTGTTTTCTAGGCCGACATGGGCGTATTTCTCTCAGGTACGATTTTTTCAGTAACTATTTTCTTGCCGAAGCTGCGGCGCAAGCTGTCTCGGATGGATGACGCTTTGGCATAAGTCCAGGTCCGGTTTTTCTTGGGTCCGACGAGGATTCCGGTCATGATGAGCGACATACCGATGATGAGAATCATCAACCAAGTTATAGGAAAGTGGTCTGGAAATTAAAATGTGTTTAGGGATTATTTATTATTTATTATTAGTATAAAAACGCTAGGGCCAATTTTTATAGCAATTATTTTAATTCGCGCTTAATACTGTAAGGTAGTTGAAAACAGATGTCGACCATTGTATTAGCGTCCACAACAACAGCGGAACTTTACGTGCCACTCGTTGATGGTGTGGACACTGCAACACTCAGTCCTCGGAATAACTAGTATAGTGTCCACCGTATAGCCCAACCAGTGATGACTTTAGGGAGAGTCAAAGCGGGCGTCAATGTCAAGGGCGCCATGAACCCTCTCGGTGTCTTGGCCACGAATTAATCTGCTATTACCGCCAATCTGGGTTAGGTAATCTAGCGCTACATATACATAGATGCTACTTACCATCAGGTGGTGCCAACTCTGATACCTATCATAAGATTGGAAGATCTTTCAGTATCAAAAACATCTTTATTGAATAATAATCAAAATAACAAATGACTAATATGGATTTATCTTCGTATATGCTATTATTATGATCCTATAATTATTAATTACTATTTTTAATTAATTAAGAGAGGGTTTCGAACTAATTATTGGCTTCTCCAAAGCGTATTGTTCGACCCTCGAAATATTTCGGTCCTCAGATATCGAGACTTGTTGAAATTTTTAAATTAAGTTTTCAATTATACGTGGCAGAGCCATGCTGCAGTTATGTTAGTTGTATAGTTGTAGCACGAATGGTTCGGCTCGACCGGGGAAGGTCCACGCTCTCACAAAATACCAGCGTAAAATAAAAGCTTAATGCTGCTGTGTTTCGTATGGTGAGTGTAGAGAACTAGTAGTAAAAATGTGTAGTAAATAGATTCTGTGGTCCATAGACATCTACATCTATCTTTTGTTAAGAATCAAAACGCAGGGACGTTGAGGGATACGATGGGACGCCTCTTTTCTAGAAAAAAGATATCCGGTTCTCTACACTCTCCATACGAAACACAGCAGCATTAAGCTACTATTTGACGCTGGTATTCTGTGAGAGCGTGATTCCTCCCCGGTCGAGCCGACCCATTCATGCTACAACTATACTATTAATATAACTGCAGCATGTCTCTACCACGTAAAAATTGTGTATATATTTGTCACATATTGCCTAGTTTTGCAACAACAAATTAGACTTCTACCACCGTACCGTATAAACTGTATGACGGCAGAGTAGTGCGCTTACGAGAGTGCTATAAATTAAAAGAAAAAGTAGGAGACTGGACCGTCAAAGATATTGCACCATTTGTCAATAACCAGACGTATTGCACCACTTCCTAAATTGTTTTGTCGGTTGCTAAAACTACCTTTGTTCGACAGCGGGTTATATTTCTTGCAGATGCGGATGACTTTTAGGGGAGTTCGTTTTTTGTGTAGCTTGTATTAACCAACTTACAAACGAATATTTGATTTTCATCCTCCGGCAGATGTTCATGGAGGCTGTGAAGCGTCTCTCGTGACAACTCTACATCCTGTCCACGGATTCGGACAGCCACAGTCCAGGGATGCAGCTCTAGTATTGAGGGGCTAGGGATCCGAATTTCGCATCTGCCCACCGAGAGGAGGCTGTCGCTGCGGTAACCTTCAGGTAGGTTCTCCGTTGTAAAACCTGCAAAGAAAAACACAATTTTTATTAAAATGTAATAGATGTATTTAAGACATTTCGGTCAATATTTGCCCATTCGGTTTTTGATTAACAAAATTCCCCCGAAGACCGTGATTCACTGGTGGCACGATTTCCTTTTAGCTTTTTTAGGTAGGTACTACCGTCAAACCAATCGTAAAACAAACTTTGCTTGCACTGCTGCGTTGCGAACTGAAGGGGATAAAAAGAGAAGTAATCAATATTAATTCTCAGAAGTGTCCGGAGGAGAGAAAGAGAGAGAGAAAACACTCTGTTTTCCTTTCGTAATCGCTTTTCCATTACTTTCCTATTAAACCTGAGACGGTACGTCCCTCATCATGGTAGAAATTCTCGACGGTTCACTTTTCTGTGTAGAACATCCAGTGTTAAAATAAATGTCGTGCAGTTTGAACTATATGATAGATAGCGTGATAAAATTTATTCATTCGTTATGCAGCCAATCATATCGATATAAAAAATCAAACATATCAGACTTAGCTTTACATACTAGAGTGACATCACAGCTTACACGCGTAATTGTTAATTACATGTACGAACACGCTCTTACGCAATACTTTTTAATAACACTAAAGAGACAGTGTGACGGTAGTCCATGTTAATCATCAAGGATGTTAACGCATCTGCAATTTTCCATCGAGGTTTTCTTATTGATTTTTTCTTTTGATTGATTATTCCCTTACCATCAGGTGAGCGTTTATCATCCTTATTTCGAAAAAAAAATGAATAAGATTTTTCTCAAAGTATACTCTCCCCCCCATAGATTGCCTCTTAGGGGAATTTGCCATTGCAACGCTAACCAGGTGGGTTGGCATCGTAGTTATTTATTATCTAGTTAGTTGTTATTAGAAGATGTTGTAAAGTAAAGTTACAGTCTATATACGTCCCACTGCTGGGCACAGGCCTCCTCTCATTTCTGAGAAGGTTTTAGAGCAAGGAAGTGCCCGCTGCGCTGCCCCAACGCGTGTTGGCGAACTTCACATGTCTTTGAAAATTTTGACATGCAGGTTTCCTCACGATGTTTTCCTTCACCGCCGAGCACTTTGTAAATCAGCACTTAAAATTGCAATAAACAATTTCATTGGTGCCGGCGGGGATCGAACCCGGGTTACTCGCGTTCTGTTATATTTACAGCAATCGTTAACCATCTGAGCTACCACGGATCTAGAGAAGATTTTGCTGCACATCTTATTTGTGTCCCTCTGTCGCTTTTTACGACACCCACAGGAGCATGTGGGGCAGTGGATACTCTTACACTAACACTACACGATGAAGGTTGCATTTATTCTTACCTAATCCATCGATGCGCACAAATCTGCAGTATTCGACGGCTCGGTCGTCGTGGACGCGTCCTGTTATTATCAACGCATTATGTTCCACTCTCTGTTCCGCCACCAATGTATCTGTGAAAGGAACGATAAAATATATTAATTTTATTATTTCTTAATATTATTGTTGTTATATTATTATAATTAATTATATAGGTATATTTTTTCTAAGTAACTGGGCAGAGATGATCGTCTATGGTTTCTCTTCCTGTGTGTTTTTGGTAATTATTATTAAAAAGTAAACAGCAAATTACAGCTTATAACGTCCCAATTCTGGGTGTTGGCATTCTGTCATTTTTGAGAGGGTTGTGGATAGGGTTGGCAAAAATCCTTCATTTTAAAGGTCGTCCTCCATTTCATACCCAACAATTGATCTTGTTACCTAATTTGAAATCTTTTCACCTAAATTGAATACAACATCAGGCAACATCGCGCGTATTCGATAGTCCTTCTGCTAGTTCAGATCAAAGAGTTTAAAAATCACGTTGAGGTAACGCTCAATGTTACTGAGACAAATAACATTACATTACGTATTAACATTGTTTTTATTTTTATTTTAATCCTATATCCTTAATTTAATCTTTTCAAATCTTCTAAAACATAAAACGGGAGTTGGCAACCCTAAATATATGACCTTGGGAGAGCTAGCTCAATGCTAAGCGCTCGCCGTAATTTCACGGTATTTAAATCCTTCACAGTCCCACAAAGCACACAAACAGTTACGACCTGACAAAGATATATAGATAGAACTGTGAGTGCCATTGCTAAATAGGCAAAAAACAGCGCTGGTGATATAAATTTTTAAGCACTCACATATGTCTATCAGAATATATTTTCGTGTGGGATAAAGTTTAAGATTTTAGATTATTACGTAATGTTTAATATCTAAATACTTTTTCAATGTTAATAACAGAAAAGACTATGGAACTAAAATACATACCTAGATAAAACGTTTTCGTCTTTCTTATTTATATTCAAAATCCCTGAGAATTTCATAAGCTGGTACTCGTATAAACTTAGGGCAAAAGTATGAGCTAGTAACGATTGACGAAATACTAATTACATACATTACATCGTAGTGAAAGATACTGTCTGGTTATCAAACAAGTTTTTGGATGAACTAACTTGCTTTTGTTTCAATTCTGTGCTCCGAAGTTGAGAATAAGCTATCAGATATATCAGGAAATAGTATCGAAAAACATTGCCACAATGCATATTGATGGATTACTCACGACCTTAAAATATTTATAATTTTGTAGACATGCAGGTTCTTTCATGAAGTTTTCCATCTCGTATCGAACTCGTTTCAAAATGTATCGTGGTTCCTTGAGCTATATATTTCTTACAACGTCACGTACCTTGGATAGAGACTTCGAACGAATCACGATGTTCGGTCTCCGAAGCGCTGACTAATCCAACATGGCAGCTCCAAAGGCCGCTGTCAGATGCTGAAAGGCTTGAGAAGCGGATGGCACAATCTCCAGCGTCGAAGCCAGCACCGGCGTACTCGATGGCTCCAGTCGATTCCCCTGTAATATATGACACGCAATAGCAATACATATAGAAAGAATAGTTAAAAAACCAAGTTACGGCTTATTAGGCGTTAATGTTCAGGACCATGCTTCGTGGCAATCCTTGGGGTAGACCTATCTTCAGCAGTGGACTTAAGATGGTGTTGATGAAGGTGATGGTAAAGTTGGTTAGATATTTTACAAATAATCTGTGGTTCCGATTGTATCAATACATATTATCATCCCGTATGTGCCGCAAGAGGTATGCTTTATTATCTTCGGTTACATCATCCTTTACCATGAGGTGGGATGAATCTTGGGGTCAATCATTGTCTTAGAATGGTTAAGAAAATGTTCAAATTCAAATAAGTTCAAAAGTCAAATTCGAGTTTAAAAAAGTGACTGAGAAATGTCAAAGATTTCATGACTTCTGTTTGGCTGTATGAGTGCAACCATCGCGTTAAAACTAAACGTAAAATAACCAGACCGGAATAGGCTGGTTGCTTATCCGCAACCCAATACACTAATGATTTTTGTTTACAAGCTGATGATAGTGATTTTAATGAATGATGTTCATTTATAAATTTGTATAGCGTGTTTCAGAAAGCCAGTGATACCAAAAACCCATTTCTTTTATAGAATAGGGGTGCAAACGAGCACACAGCCTACCTGATGATAAGTGGATGCTGTGGCCTATAGACATCTACATTTTATCCTCAAGAATAGATCCTTAAGAATCAAAATGTAGATGCGTTGTCACCCCTGAAGACTGAGATGGAATGCGTCATTTCCAGGAAAAAGGATATCAGGTTCTCTACACTCATTGTATGAAACACAGCAGTATTAGTGTCGATCCTCATTTGCCGTTCACAGTTCCTTCTCGGTCCGATCTCGGTCTGATTTATTATATTATTGGAATGAGATTCGAGCGAAACTTGACTGTTACGGATAGTATGAATGCACGCACATATAAAAAATATGTGTATGCATTCATATTATCCGTAACTTACCGAAACCTAACTGTGAACGGCAAACGAGGATCGGACATTAAGCTGCTATTTAACGCTGGTGGTCCCACCCCTGTCGAGTCGACCCATTCGTGTTACAACCATAGTCCTCCACGTCATTCATTTTCGATTTCTCACAAACTCCAACATGTTTTATCCAACAAGTATCGTACTAGCGTAGTATTGCTGTTTGGTAAACTTTTTCTTAATAATAACCAACCTGTAATGTTTCGAGCGGAAGTTAGTTTTGGGGTTATCTTTCTCATGAACTCTTACGGGTCTGTCCGGGTATAAATTCGACCATTATACTGTTGTGTTGTATGTAGTTGGGCTGATCGAATACTTTTAGACATACCGGAAGTCAATAATAGATGTAGGTGCCACAGGATCGTGCTTTATGGCATTTTTTTAAATTGGATATCGTAACAAAAGAGAACACAGTCCACCAGATGGTAAATGGACACAGTCCACCACATGGTAAATGGTTACTGTGGCCCATAGACATCTGCATCTATCCTCGATTACGAATCAAAACGCAGGTGCGTTGTCACCCGTGATGACTTAGGTGGAATGCCTCGTTTCCAGTTAAAAGAGTCTCCGGTCCTCTACACTCACCATTAGGGGGTGACGTCATTACTTAGTGGGTGACCTATGTCCAGTAGTATATTTGTAATGATGATGATAATGTCCTCCAGACCGAATTTCAATCACGGTGGCAAGTTTCAACAGGCTGATGACTGAGATCTGCGCAGCACCGGATTATAGTGGATGAGTGTGTGTATAAGTTTGTGCACTTGTGTGCGTTTTACCTTACCTACCACTCTCATAGTACGATGGGACGGCAATATAATGCGACCGGAGTTAAAAGAAGTTCAGACACAGAGCTAACGGATTAACGAGATTTCTAAGGTACGGGGATAAAATACCGTCAACTTCCTGACTCCGGACAGCAACAGAATATGTTTTGGTAAAAAAAAAATTTAATAATTGATTTTCGTACGACCTGTGGTTTCAAACCGGGGACACATGATCATTAGGCACATTTACGAATGCTAGACCGATGAGCCGGTATAATGATGACGATGACGATGGCTATATATAAATTCTGTAAACGTAGTATAGCCGGTTCATACATCTACATCATCTGAAACAAACCTTTTTTAAATAGTATGTATCGTTAATAACTTACCAGGGCTTACAGAAAAGGTTGTTCCGTTCCTTGCTCTAAAGTAACAGTACCTTATAGCGGACTGTACTGAACAAGACATGGTCACAGTCTCGCCGACTAATCCGTTCACCATTTGATTCTCTGCTTTCAGAGTAGGTTCTGAAAAAAAAAAGTTTATTTTTACAGATGTCGGGGTGACAAACTAGCACCACAGTCCACCTGATCGTAAGTGCTGTGGCTCATAGGCCTGTGGCGGCGCTGTCGTCGCGCCACAAGCGAAACAGATCAAAGCCTAAATCACGCTATCAAAGTTCCGTAGTAAAACAGTACATTATATTATACAGAATAGCTCTGAACTACCACTCGGGGCGTTGGCCGCTCGCCGGGCAGAACACCTTGCCCGGTGGGAGATCTCTCCTTTTCGTTCCACGGCCACAGACCAATTACCGTCAAGTGAGATAGTAGTCAACCACCGGGTTAGAATACTAAAAAAAAGTAACTGACACGAATGAAATGAGAAAGAGCCAAAAAGATGTTCATGACTTCAATATTGCATAGCTTCAGCTTCCGGTAGATGGCAGATGGCCGGTATATTGATATATATATATATATATATATATATATATATATATATATATATCAATATACCAGCGTCAAATAGCAGCTTAATGATGTTCACGCGATTGAATGTTATACTGCCATCTGCCATCTACCGGAAGCTGAAGCTATGCAATATTGAAGTCATGAACATCTTTTTTATCTAATATATATATATATATATATATATATATATATATATATATATATATATATATATATGATACAGTTACAGTCTTGGTATATGGCAGTGAGAGCGTGATCCTATCTCGGTCGAGCTGACCCATTTGTACCGCCATAATGCACTGCATTTGGCTCTATAATTGTAAAAATTTTCTTTCCAGTTGTTTAATTTTCCATTCTCTTCATTTCTTAGATATTTTTTTCGCAATCGCCATGCAATGCGTGCATCGAAAATAAGAAATGTTCGTTCCCTTTGAGTATTTATAAGCCAGCTATAACTCTAAGTTTATTCCAAAACACGGACGGACAAAAATAAAACGATGTAATAAGAAAATCTTAAGATGATTGGTAAAAATACGACCGTTGCCACCGTTCGTTGTAAAATTTATAGAATTTACCATCTCTTTCAGGAATCTCTTTTCTTTTCTTTTATTACACTCTTTTTTTGTTGTAATGCCCTACAACTTATCTTTATAAAATAATATTTTTACGTCTAGTTTTCCTATTGAAAATATTCGAGGTTTCGAGAAACTGTATCATGTGTGCAACGTCACGTAGGTCTGTAAGTATTGGTTGCGTAATCGCGTTACATAGAGGCTAAATATAAAAAAACCTATGCAGGTTTATTTTTCACTTACCTGGTTGACTGAACTTTGCTCGGATATTTTTTTTAGTCCATGTGTTTTAGAAATTATATTTAGATAAAATTACATACTGATGAAATACGAATAATATTTTTTGATCTTAGCGACGTAATAGAAAAAACTGAACTGGTTATTTGAATAAAAATCATGAGTGCAATTAGTTTAATTTAAATTTTCATGTTTTTAAAAAAATACTAAAAAAAGGGCTCGACATAATAGATTTTCTCAAAAAAAGGGAATTTGAAAAAAACGAAAAATGTCGGTGTGTAGACAGGGCTCGAACCATGGTACCACGATTTTGTGACCGCCTGTTGTCCCAATTGTGCTATGATATGAAGTGTCAAAATTTACCTTCGTATTCTAATGATATTGTAGCAGCTTTTCATTGCCTGAAAACACGGATAAAACGACATTTTCTAAAAATGAATCCTAGCTAGATAGATTTATTGCACTAAATTTTATGAAAATCGTTGGAGCCGTTTCCGAGATTCCGATTATATATATATATACAAGAATTGCTCGTTTAAAGGTATAGGAATAGGATAAAGGTATATGATAGGGAAGCCGTATTAAATGATATCGGATCTTGGGAAGGCGTATATTCAGGAGTGGACGTGTAAGGAGCTGTAATGATGATATTATGTTAATTAGGAGGTCACTGTAGCCTTTAACATTCTTCCTAAAAATTAAATCTTACCTGAAACAACAGTAGCGGCTACTTCAGGGTCTTGCATGGCCCACGGGCAAAGTACACTTAAAAAGCCATAGTAGGTTTCGGCATCAGTCGCCATAGCACAGCTCCATAAGCCAAGGTCTCTGATCTCTGGGTTCGTGATTTGAATACCACACTCGTGATTATAGACACCGGACTGAAGGCTGAAAAAAATATAATATGGTTTCATTATCACAATAATATCATTATTTGCTCGCTGCTGAACAGGGGCCTCTCACAAAGATTGTTACAAAGCACAGTTTTGAGTAGCTTTAAAGCCCTAATTTGACATGGTCGTCTATTCTAGAATTACAAAAATTTTAACGCGTTCTTTCTATATTAGCTATGCAGTTAATTATATCATTTTAAAAACAAACTTTCTTGTATATTGCGTATAAAATCTATATATGCATAATATCTTTTAAATATAAAATAATAATACATTATGATATTTTCATTCCAATCTTTATTTTAATTTTTTAAAGGCCTTCAAATTTTAGGTGATTTTAGGGACCCTGTCTGGCTTAAAAAGGTCCTGTCATAATCCTTTCGGAAATAAGAGGAGGCGTATGCAGAATTGGAATCCCTGTGAGCTATTTACTTACTACTTACTTACTAGATACTTCATAACAATTTTTTTTAATATCTCCTCACTAGAATTTTATACCATGTATCGTGGAGTAACCCAGAAAGAGTAAAACAACAATCTAACTCTTTCTGGGTTCTTGTTATTAGATTATAGATCATTAAATTCGAACCTGAACCAGACTATCGCGGCCAGATTCTAAGCCACCGCGAGCCGAACTTAACGACGATTGTACCGTTATTGTGTAGAAATATTTCAATCCACAAAAACATAAAGTTATTCAAACAAAAAACAATTTGAAAAATAAAAACATTTTTCTTTTGGCAGAAGCGCTATTATATCATGTTATGAACATTTTAAAGAAAATTGAATGTAGATTTTGGGGATACTTGTTATATATCAGAAGTCTTTTCATTTCCGGATTCAGTAATACTGATAACACCATAATATGTGATATGTTACTTATAAATTAGATATTAATATGCGAGAATGAATGAGGAAAGAGTGATAGAGAGTGGCAGGGTCAGAAAGGATTGTCCTAATCGGAAGTTTGTTGACCAATTTAGCAACATATTGAAGACTAGCTCTTCCCCGCGACTTCGTTCGCGTGAAATTTATTACGATTGAATTTCATGGATTCAATTCTTTTTCTAAAATAAAAATAAGACTAAGTTACTCCTCATAACATCAGCTATCTGCCATTGAAAGTCCTGACCAAATTGGTTCAGCCATTTCGGAGATTAGCCGTAACAAACAGAAAAACAGACAAACATTTTATAAATTGTTTTTTCTTTGTCAATAGTTTCCGCAGCGTACGCAATATAAGGATTTTTCGAGGTTACTATTGCATATTTTAACATGAAAAAGTAGTTACTGTGACATAACTGTAATAGTTAGACATATGGTATTGCGGACTTTTTTGTAGATATTGATATCTATTTTTTTTTAATTTATTTATGTACACACATCAAGATACAGAAGCAGTCTTATCGTAAGTTTGTACAAAGGTTCTACTTATTACATAATTTGCTGAAATATCTTCCAGTAGATCCGTAAAGGAAATTATATTTAAATGGCAAGCTTAGTACTACTACTAATGAATAAATAATATACAAAATGTTACGAAAATTATATAAAATAAAACAATAAATTAAAATAAAATAAATCAGTAGATAAAAATAATAAATACGATAGTTACATATGATATATATAAACTAATACTAATATAATAGAATAATATATAGAATAATATATATATTAAATTCAGGATGCAAAGAAGTTATCTCTAACACGTTTCTTAAATACCAATAAAGTTTCGGAATTTCTTATATTAGACGGTAGTGAGTTCCATAACCTTACCGCGTGAACTGAAAAGGATTGGGGTAAAAACCGGAATTATAGACGGGAAAGTCAAGAAGAGTTTTAACAAGGGATCTGCACGGTTTGTCCGGAGGATGGGTGAAGGAAAATCGGCTTCTGAAGTATGTGGGAGAGGAAGGGTTGTGCAAGATGTTATAGAGGAGACTTAACAATCGAGTTGGGAGCCTTCAGCCCAAATATAAAACAGATACACTGATTTTGCAAGCGCTCAATTTTATTAAGAAGCTCCTCTGTAGCATCCAAATAACAGGCATCCCCATAATCAAGGAGAGGTAGGATAAGAGTAAGCACGAGTGATATTTTTAGATTTCTTTCTTTTAGATTCTATTGTCAATAGTTTACGCAGTGTACGCGGTATAAGGATTCTTTTGGTACTTTTTTCACATTTGTACATTTTCACATTTACGCACAGGTTACATTAACGAACTTTTTACACGGATCCCAATTTTTTTTTTTGAAAATATATTATAGCCTATGTTCATCAGGGATAATGTAGGATTCCAATGGTGAAAGAATTTTTCAAATCGGTTCAGTAGTTTTAGAGCCTATTCAATTCAAACAAACAAATTTTTCCTTTTTATAATATTATAAATGTAGATGTAGATGTAGAAGGGCCAAATTCAAAATACCCTTAATCGACGATCATGTGTATGTGTAGATAAATGGACGTAAAAAACGCGAGAGGCGTGTCAAGCTCGTACCAAATTACGAAACAGACGTAAGAGTGAGTTTATGCATGTAAGTATGTGTTGTATATTATATACTACGCAATTAATAAAATAATTTTATTTTAATAAATACCTATTTACAGATATTTGGCAATACTTGATACTTTTTATTTTTACCTGGAACCTTCTCCATGGAAAGTGTAGCGATCTTCTCCAACTCCTGGGTTGGCTAGGAGGATACGACCGGTCGGGTCGCGGAACTTGCACGAGTTAACTGCATGGGAACTCGACACTGAGCAGGTCAGAGTGACTAAGGGTTTATTTGTGGCTACAGACGTGGACACCACCGGTTTGGGGTCTGAAAAAATCAGGCCATCATCAGCCGTTTATAGCTACTTTTTGTAGAAGAAGGGTAACAATCGAGCACATAGTCCACCTGACGATACTCGTAAGTGGATGCTGTTGCTATGGCCCATAGTCACCTAAATCTAAATTCAGTTGTTGTAGACTATTACAGTTATTGTAGATATGTTATTGTGGAACATTGTTTGAATTAACGGTAAAGTTTATTAAAATACAATTATTACTATTATTAAAAAAAGTTAAGTATTAAAATGCAGATGCGATCATCCTTAAGGACTAAGAAGGGTTACCTCATTTCCTTTACTATATGTATCTCTGATTCTCTACACTCAGCATACAAAACAAAGCAGTTTTAAGCTGTTATATTACGCTGGTATTCTGTGAGAGCGTGGTTATAGCTGTAGTGTGGCTCTACCACGTATGAACTATAGACTTATAACGAGACATAACTTTATACACTCATAAAACGCGATTGGGCAAAATATTTAATTTTCTTCTACTATTTCATTAGCCCGTAGAAGACGACTGTTCAACATGGAGCCTCTCCCGTTGTGAGGAGCATTTGCCCCAATCCTCACGCTTGTCGATCACAGAGACTCGCTTATTGGACGCTTCTGCCCATCGCCGGAGTGGATACAATTTAACACCAGCACAAAAGAATTGAATAAGATGGTAACAAGAATATTACACGTGTTATACGTGGTAGAGCCACGATACAGCTATATTGTAGTTGTAGTAACTCAACCAGGGAAGGACAACGCCCTCACAGAATACCAGCGTAAAATAGCAGCGTAATGCTGCTGTGTTTCGTATGTTGAGTGTAGAGAGAACCGGAGACCCTTTTTACAGGAAACGAGGCATTCCAAATTAGTCCTCACGGGTGAAAAAGCATCTGCATTTTTTTGAGGTTCGTATTTTGTGGTATCGAGGATAGATGTAGATGTCTATGGGCCACAGCAACCACTTACCATCAGGTGGACTGTGTGCTCGTTTATCACCCTATCCTATAAAAAATGTTACACTTCCCGATTTTTCGATTTCTCGGCACCTAAAACCACTTGCGTAAATATCATAACGGCATTAAAGTAACAATCAACCAAATCAAATACAAGCAACTCGCTTGAGTTTAATTTAACACTATTATCAGTACCGGAATTAACTTTTTGGTGTCTTAGGTTTTTATAGCAAATGGTGGTCTAGTTTTTCATTTTATATTGCTTTTTTATTTGAAGTACAATATAGTGCATTCGGGCAAATGACGAAAACGGATATATTCCGATTTATGTTAATTTCTACCAATCAACCATTTATTCTACTAATCAGCCATCGTTTCTCCGGTTGATTGCAGTTAATACTATATAGTATATTTCGCTGCGTTTGGTACAAATTAAATATAAATCGAAATATACCCATTTTCGTAATTGCCCCTACGAAACCTACTTACAATTTTTGAAACAATCCAATCTAAATGAGTTTAGTGCATTTCTAATAGCGAGAGATTCATTTATATTTTAATTGACTAGTAACTTCCATTTTATACCATAGTAAAACGTTTTTTTAATGATCTTTCTCTCTTTGGTGCCTAGGTCAGGGCCTAGTATGCCTTATTATAAATCCATTACTAAATACTATATAATATATAATGTGCATTACCTGCTTCTCTAACAGTCACTTCAAAATCATGTTCATCAGTTAGCACACGTCCCTCCAAACCAACAAATATCCTCCATCTTCCCGTATGCTCTACAGTAACTCTGTTCAAGGTAACGTTACATCTGCCAAATCCATCAAATACTGTATTTTGTTTGGGATCGACTACTCTACAGTATACAGTATTTTCTGGACCCATTAATTGCTCAACAGGCCTGTCCAGAGTCCATGTATAATGACTTTGAATGTCTGTTTGGGCTTCACCTAATGATAAAAAGTAATTTTAGTGTTGTCATCCATGATAACTATATTCGTACTTATTTTCTATCTAATAAGTCTAGCTTGCATAAGTGCACTGCCGAATATACCTATATGGCCATGCCTGTTAGGCCAATTGTATTGAATATTGTAGTGTCACATTACCCTTACCTTTGACGCGACAACCGAACCGCTCGTCGCTGTCTGGATATTTTACGTTTAACGTTAACAAGATGGTCTATCACCTATCTTTCTACCTATCAAGACATATAAAAGAAAACTGTCAGTCGTAGAACTGCACGTCAAATTCGAAAACTTCACGCACACATATATACATATTTATACATATATGAATCTGAGCTGGTCTGCCTCTTTGGTCTAGTGGTTGTAGTAGTGTGACTGCTGATCATGAGGTCCTGAGTTCGAATCCTAGGTCGAGCCAAAAAATCAATTATTGAGTATTTCCGTCAAAAAATTCTCAGTAGCTGCCCGGAGTAACGAAGTTAGCGGTGTTTCACACCCGTGCCTCGGAAAGCATAAAGCCGTTGGACCTGCGCCTGATCTCTCTCCGGTCGTGTCGGTTTACCGTCCCATCGGATTATGAGAGTGAGAGAATAGAGAGTGCACATGTGTTTGCGCATACACTTGGGCACTATAATCCTGTCCTGCGCTGATGGCTAGTCTCCGTTGAGGCTGGTCACCGTGACCGAAATACGGTCTGGAGGACATTATCATTATTATGAATCTGAGCGTGATGGTCACGCGAGCTTAGCGCTTTTCCCCTTTCCAAAAGTGCCCGACGTGCATGAAGAACATTCACTTAAAAAAAATCCCATAGTTGACTTTTTCGGCACCCGGCACCATCATACGGCAACGCTACTACAGCTTTTACGTCAGCATTATGTGACTACCTTTTATCACTTATTCATAAGAACTATACAGATAAAAATGTCTAAGCAAACCATGCATTCAATGATTCATACATTGAAACGAATAATAATCACTGTGACTACATAAATAAAAAAATATTTATAGCAAACAAAAGATTCTGTGTTTGCATGAATCGAAATAGAATAACACAAAAAGCATGGGTTGCAAGGCGTGAAATAGAGGCCATGGTGTTAATGACATGATGTTAATTTTTTTAACGATGTTATTGATATTGTATATTCTAAATGAAAGTAAGCAGTTACCGTTAACAGTCACTCGAACAAACGCTTTATAGATTGTACTTTCTCCATATTTAATCTGCCAGAATCCAGAGTCATTTTCACTTGCATTTTTCACGATAAAACCACAGGTATCAACATACCTCGAATCTTTTTCAATGTTTGTACGGAAAGTATCAAGAGGATCGATCAGTTTACAAGTATCATAAAATGGAGTGGAATCTTCTAGACGTATGTAAATATCATTTCCTTGGTTTACTGTTATCTCACTTGGTAAAGCATTCACTATTTCTGTAATTAAGAATGTTCTTTATCAATCAAATTTTTGTTACATCCAAAACTGTATTCATAATCCTTTATTGATGGTCATTGCCCTTATCAGATATTATCTTTATCTCTTAAACGTGACTCGGTACACGTATAATTTCAAAGATTACACATTAATTAATTTATTTTAAAAAGATATACCTTCTAAAATTATTGTAAACGGCAACCTTCTTTCAACGACCTCGGTACTGTATCTAGTGCCTCGTGAGATTAACATCCAATCTCCAATCATCTGTTCAGATACAATATGGACTTTAACTCCGCATGCTACATTATCATCCTTAATTACTTCTATTCCATTAATTTGTGTCATTTCAACATCATATTGATTACCATCTGGTGTAACAATGTAACATTTCTCGCTATTTAAAAAGTCATATTCAGGAATCTTAAGTTCATGACTTTCACCGATTTTCGTAACAAAGTGTTCAGGGTCTATGTTAATAATTTCTTCAATTTGCGCTGTTGAAGTTTCTATTGTGTTTTCAGTTGTTTCTTGTGGTAGCCATGTGGTTTCAGCAACATCTGTAGTAGAAGTTTCTTCATTTATCTCGATATTTAACTTGCTTGAAATTTCTGTTGAAGTTCCTTGTTTTCGGAAAATTAAATCACTGACATTAAGTATTTTATATTTGTGGTACGTGTATATGTTTCAAGTCAAGAAAATGTAGTTATTAACAAAAATTATCCGTAGGTATACAAGATTACCAAAAAATTTACAATTATAATAAAAGGGAATATTTGCCAACGTTGTATGGCTTATAAATTATATTTTGAAAATAACGTCCCTTAGATCTTACGACTTTATTTATATAATTATAGAAAAATAAAATAGAATAAATATATAAAACCATTTTTTATTTGTTGTTATTAAAACTTGATAAGGCATTCTATTTAAATTTACGAAATAATTCTATACATCCCTTTTCCCACTTTATCCTCGTTTTCTCTCCATCTAATTCTCTGAATACATGTAAGTTAACACCAAATTTAACTTTGATATCAATTTTTAATAATTGTCTTTCATTATTTTAATTATTGCATTATGTTTATTTTACTATCCTAATACCTATATATTTTATTCAAAAAACTCTATAACCAAAATGTTTAGATAAACACATGAGTTAGTATATTTTTACGCCACAGCACGGTTGCGCTTGGTAAATGTGCTCAGGTGTATGTTGAATTGAATCATACTTCCATATTATGCCAATTATGTATGCATTGATGGATCAGACCTTTATTTTTTTAAGCGAGAATATCCTCCCTTCTCCGCAGCATGCATATTTTAAAGTTATTAAAAATTAATACGCACACATCCGCTCAATATTTTTTTAACAATGTAAGTTTAATACAATGGATTTCCGAAAAGTAACGTCTGATTCTATTAATTATTACGCGTATTTGTCCAGTACCAAGTAAGCGTGAGAAATTCGAAGGACAAAAATTCACTTTATTTCTAACGTTTTTGCTTATTAACAGAATTTAAATAAAAATGTAGCCCATGAAAAGTATAAGTCAATAAACTGTCATTCCAATAATATTATTTGTAAAAAGAGGTCGCTTAAAAAATAGAACTCAACGTTTTCTCCCGGCAATTGCTTTTTTTTATATCTCGATTAATATAAAGTATTTTAAAAATCCATTCGATTAACAATTTAATTATGTATTTCATGTGTGCGGTTATATTTTGAAGTTAGGAATTTTAACAAGTATCAATTGACGCGCGTCATACGATATTTTGTCCAACCTAGCAAGCAAATATGACGGACGGAATATATAGATTGACTGTAATGTATTGAAAAAGAATGTTGCGCAAAATATGTGTAGAAGCGTATGTCACTAAAAATGTTTGGCGCAAATTGTTTATCTATTGATCGTACTATTGGTGATTTCGTATGATCAGATGTATTAATGCGTTTATTGTTTTAAAAAGCGGACAGCACAAATATTTCAATTATGCATTTTTTAATTCTTGAGAGTGAAAATGTTTTACAACATAAATTATAAAACTATTAAGAAACTTAAGCAAGTTTTTTGGTGGTAAAAGCACACTGCAGCTTTGTTATGGTTGCAGCCCGACTGTGTCAGCTCCACCGGGGATGGACCACTGTCTCACAGAATACCAGTATTAGATAACCGAAGGTCTATTTTGCTGGTAACGAGGCATTCTATGTTACTCCTCAAGGCTGGCAACAAATCTGCATTTCGATTTTTAGTAAAAGATTGATGTAGATGCCTTTAGCCTACAGCATCCATTTACCATCAAGTGGGCTGCGTGCTCGTTTGTTACCCTTATTCTATAAAAAAATGTAACGGCTTTTTAAGCACATTTCAATATGCAGCTTACTTTATGTTAATAATTTAATTTATTTGAAAACAGATTTTAATTTTTTTAAATAATTAAATGCAAGGCGAAAGGTAAAACGGCTTAAAATCAAATGAATTATTGATTTCGAAATGACTATAAATCCCAAACCTTCTGTGGTCACAGTAACTTCGTACGTCTCATTTCTATTGTTGCCATTGTCTGACGCAGAACGCAGCGTCCAGATGCCCGCATCATTGCTGTTGATGCTTTTTACTGTTACTTTACATTTGACGAACTCAGTGTCCTCTTCAAGTTTATATTTGTCATTAGAATTATCTACAGGCTTAAACTCAATAGTTTCCCCCCAGGGGGTATCTAAGTAGCATCCCTCTACGTTATCGGATGCAGTAAAAATCGATGTTTCCAAATTTTCTCCAACGTTAAGAGACACCTGTCTTACCGCTTCAGATCTAACGATGACACCTGAGGACAACAAAAATATATTGAACATAAAATTGAATAAATTCACTTTTTTTACTTTATAGATTTTTTTTAATAATCTTAAATATAATAAAAATGTAACGAGTAAGATATTATAAAGCTACTATGAGAAATGCTAGAAAAATATGGTTACCGATCGTCAGCGGTACCATCTCGTTTACACCAGACGTAAAATAGAAAGAGGGGCAACAGCTTTAAAAGTGCAAGGCAAATGGTCTTCGACCAATAATTAATCGAATTAAGTGGTACTTCGATAGTAAATTTGTCTGCCAGGCGCAAATTCACCTTGCAGCGGGAAAAATATCTCCAGCATATCACTTCTGCGGGATGATGAAAAAGAAAAAGAAGTAAAACTTTAAAAGCAAAGTAAAAATTGAAAAATTGTCATAATTTCGAACTTTTATTTTATATAGCGGATAGACCTCATCGTAATCATTGTAGTACAACGAACTAGAATGGACACCGCGAAAAAATTGTTCGGCAGGGCGCGGCGCCTGGAGAGAGACTCAGAGTACCATTTTATTGCACCGGAGCTAAGTAATGCTCGATACATGATCAGTTGAACTGACGTACATTTAAAAACTGACCGTGAGTGTGACATCATTGCATATGGTCTCATCTTAGTCATCAGTCATATCTTGATTTTTAATTGAATTTGAATATAAATGTAGATGTCTAGGGCCTCGGCATTCACGTACCATTAATTGGACTGTGTGCTCGTTGTCACCCTTATTATATAAAAAATGGTGTATATTAGTTGCAGTAAGCACTTGCAGTAAATGGACTACTATAATTCGTTTGTGGTTTTAGTTTTATAAAAGAAAGTCTTTCTCCTAATACTACGTTTTATGTAAGCGCTAATACACTTATTTTTGAAGGTTTATCAGAATAAGCAACATAAAGACCTAGAACATTTAAAACACGGTAAATTAATATAAATAAATCAATTATCAGTCAAGTAAAATAACGAGACACTTCATGTGACTAATCAATCGAATGGTTATCAATATCACCTTTGTTGTTAAAGGAATTCTCTACGTATCTAAGCAAATAATTTTCTAGAGGTATTTTTTTATGTCTATCGTTTATTGAAGGGCATCGTATATTTGATATCAAGGAACATGGTTCTTACGACTATTGCCGGTGATATTGTAGGATGCTGGGCCGTCAAGAAGAAGGATGAAAATAGACTGCATGCGAATGAAATGAGAATGTTACGATGGATGTGTGGTGTGACAAGGATGGATAAGATAAGGAATGAGTATATAAGAGGAAGCCTGAAAGTAGCGCCAGTGGTAGAAAAGGTGAGAGGAAGCAGATTGGCATGGTTTGGGCATGTGATGCGGAGGGATGAAAGTCATGTCACAAAACGAGTGTTGAATATGAATGTGGAGGGACACACGGGCAGAGGAAGGCCGAATAAAAGATGGATCGATTGTGTGAAGAGTGATATGAGAATGAAAGGAGTAAGTATGGAAATGACGGCTGATAGAGAGGAATGGAACAAGAAGATTTACTGCGCCGATCCCAGATAATGGGAAATGGCTTAGAGAATGATGATGACTTGTAACAGTAGTTTAAAACTATTCGTGGTGTTTTTCCGCTGTGTCAACGTGTAGATAACATTTGCTTTTTTATAACATTGTTTTGATAACATTGTTTGTTTTATACGTGGTAGAGCCACGCTGCAGCTTTATTATGGTTGTAGCACGAATGGGTCGGCTCGACCGGGGTAGGACGACGCTCTCACAGAATACCAACATAAAATAACAGTTATAACTGCTATGTTTCGTATGGTGAGTTTAGAGATCCGGAGACCCTTTTTTACTGGAAACGAGGCATTCCATCTTAGTCCTCAGGGATGACAACGCTTCTGTGTCTTAATTCTTAATTGAGGATAAATGTTTAGATGCCTAGGGGCCACAGCATCCAGTTACCATCAGGTAGACTGTGTATTCGTTTTTCACCCTCAATCTATAAAAAAAAAATTCTATGAATATTAATAACGCCTGAGAAACGGCAGTACTTGTATACTTTATATATATACTAGTATACACTAATTATATGGTAGGTAACAGTATTGTTTCTGTTACGCCATAGTAATTTAACCTTTGTGCGTCCTTGCTTGTATCCAATAGGCTTATCGCGCACAACTAAGGTAATAGCTATTATTATAATATTTGTTTTACACTTGAGTGATGAAATTGCTGTACAACTCAGTGGCATTACGTAAACAAATTTAAACCTTAACTCCTTTATTACAAAAGCTAATTTATATTTAGACCCGGGTAACTTAAACTCTGCTTCATGAAAGGAGTTCCGCCAACTAAAATGTAATGTATGGACTTTGACAGCAGTTATTAAATTTTGTGAAGATTGTGGCGCCGTGCCTAGGTCAAGGGATTTCTTAAGTTAGACGGACTATTCTGAAACCATCTTGCGATATTCCATGTTTGTAATAAGACGACGACTGCCTTTTCAGGCGTAGGTACACCCGCAGGAAATTTTGAGATTTCAAAACGAAACTCCGTAGTGAAAGGCTGTTGGATGGGAGGACAGTGAAGTGCCTCAATATGAAATTTTGAGTGAAGAGTGAACCAATAACAAAAATATTATTTTAGTGTGGATTCAGAACATGATGACGTTGGATGTCTTATTATAAATACAGGTGTCAGCCTCTGAGATTTCTAGTGCTGAAGAATATTGTCTATTTACTTTCATTTATGTTTAACTATTCATATTTTTGTAACACATGACAAGACATGAGACATGAAGACATGCAGGAAGTCGATGGATGCAGGTGGCTCAGGACCGTGCTTTGTGGCATTGCTTGGGGAGGCCTATGTTCAGCAGTGGACTTGTGAAGGGCTGTAATGATGATGATGGTAATTCTTATTTTTCATTTAAATTCTCTTTGCTACGTAACATGTGTTTATGATTTATATTCGTATTTATTACAATAACCATAAGAATAAAATACTATACTCTATTTTATTTTTAGAAAAAAAAAACAACATATAAGTATTTATTATATAATAATAAGCGCCTCCGGGGGTACCAACACTACCTGAGCGAATAGACTATAATATCTGGCTTAAACTAGTCTGTTTTAATTAAAAAGTCCCGTCGAAAATATGCGAACTAAAATATAAAATAAATTACTACTTAAAAACATACCGAACACATCGCGTAACATACTCGTACAAACGAAAAAACATATTTTAATTAAAAAACCCCCATGTTTAGACGGCTACAACTAGATGCAACCGATCATTGTTGCTTACCACTACTAATTCGAATTTATTAGTAAATTGTCCCTAGTTATCGATGTCGAATGAATTAGTAAACCTAGGCGAGTCAACTCATCCATCCTGTAGCCACAGTACTCGACTCCATCGTGTATAGAAGCAACAACTAATTTCTGTAACGTTAGTGCTGTGAGCCAGTTGACTTTTACACCTATATTGGACACAGGGCTTTACAAAATGGAGCTGTTAAAAAAAGCGTTCTTTAAAGCAATGCTATCAATGTAATTCGTACTTTATAGTGCAGATTAATGAGTTAGTTTATAGTACGTGAGGGTAATTTGGTCACTTTCTTAAAACTCAAAAACTACAGCCTTGTTTGAATAGACGGCTTTGTAATTATCTTGATCGGTCAATCAAATAATAAAGGGTGAAAAGGGCGATACTTTATCGACGTCATTTTGACAGGTGATATAATACTAAATATTTTAGTCAATTTTTTTCTTTTTATAGAAGAGGGAGCACACGAGCATACGGTTCACCTGATGTTAAGTGACTACCGCCACCCATGATCAACCGCAACACCAGGGGAATTGCAGGTGCGTTGCCGGCCCTTTAGAAAGGAGTAAGCTCATTTCTTGAAGGTCCCCAGGTCGTATCGGTCCGGAAAAATCACCGGTGGTAAACTATTCCACAGAGAGGTTGCACGTGGAAGAAAACTCCTAGAGAAACGTACAGTGGTAGACCGCCAAGCCATTTTAATTAACTATGTAGTTAGTTTTTTTTAAATAGATTTTTCGAAGTGTTCCTAATTATTGCTAAAGCTTGTTTGCTTTTTTTCTTAATATGTTATTCTTAATATAGTCATGTTTATTATGTTGTTATTAGTATGTTACAGTATATGACTGTGCTTTTTGTCTTTGTCCTCCTCTTAGTTTTGTTTGGGGGCTTAGGTGCCTTGCTTTGGCCACCCCTTTACCCTTACGTATCTTATTAGTGACAATCTGCGAAATTGCCTTATTACTAGAATAAATGAAAATGTATTATTTTGTTTAATTGCTCTTTTACCCGAATAGCAAGGATATCTACTGCCTGCGGTAAAGAATTATAATATGCCCTTTAAGATAGTTTATATACTGTTATCGGTATTATGTCCGTTTTAATGTCCGCCCCTCGGAGAATTTACGTTAGCTATGGTCCGCCTGTAACTCTATAGTCGCCGGATTTTAACGAATTTCAATCGATTACACAGACTATATGATAAATTAGAATAAAAAATAGAATAGAATAGAGAGCCGTGGTAGCTTAGATGGTTAGTGCTCGCTGTAAATTTCACAGTACGCGAACAAACCGGATTCGATCTCTGCCGGCACCAATTAAATTGTTAGTTGAAACCTGCATGTCTGAGAAATAAGAAAAAAAATATTTCGAAGACATGTGAAGTTCGCCAACACGCATTGGGGCAGCGCGGCGGACAATTCCTTGCCCTAAAACCCTCTCAGAAATGAGCGGAGGCCTGTGCCCAGGAGAGTATATAGGCTGTAACTTTAACTTTAATTTCAAAATAAATGGCGGACATGAACTGTCAAAAACCATTCATTAATTATAGCTTATTAAAAATATCCTAGTAGACAGATCTAGAGACAAAATGGGGAATTTTTTCTACAGTTGCCACGCTTGATAGGGGGACTGTTTTTTTTTTGTTATTAAGTTGGTGCTGTAACATCTCGGGTTCCATAATTCCATTTCCTTATGTTGCTTCTTACGGTACACAACACATGGTGTATGATAGTGCATTTTCTCACACCGTCACCACAAGGTCAGTCAAGAAAATGCGAACTAAAATAATGACAAAGGCAAAAGTGGATGTAAAACATAGGTACTTACTCGTAAAAAATCTGCACCTGCACTTTTATACATTCATGCGCCCGAAAGATATAACTATGTATTTAAATTATGGTTATCCAATAGTTTGACAAAATTGAACCTTATTTATTGATAAATTAAACTGTTCGTTGAGAGCTATTAGCGCTTAGACTAGTATGTTAACTATTTGTTTGATTATATATTAATTGCTAAACACATTAAGTATTCGAAAAGCCTTATTAACTATCATTGTACATTGTACAATGCTAGTAAAATACATGCACAGTGAGATAAAAGTTTTTTAATCATGTAGTCCAATAACCCTTCAACTGTGAAACAAAAATTTACTGTTAAACAAAAATAACAGACAAAAGGATAACATCTATTTTTACTTGGATCACACTGTCAGTTGACGTAGGCTTGATAAACCGGAATACATGACACAACTGTCAATAAAATCAGCGTCGCGCTTCCTTTTTTGTTTAATATGAATCTTATATCTATAATGTATCTATTTATTTGTTAATACTGTTCCTAAGGATTTTAGCGTTATTCTAATTACCTAATAGAAATTTATATATTTTCACGTCTCAATATGTAAGTCAAAATGTATGTTATTACCGACAACTTTGTTATAGCTCCTTATCTCGTACGTAATCCTTACAAATTTTGTTGAAGCAGCCTTATGTATTTTGCGTATCAGATCGGTATGTGTATAACAATAATAGTTGTGTTTAACGGTAAAGAGGTACAAGGAAAACAAATTAAAAGTATTGTTGTCGTACATAGCTTTATAAAGCAAGTACCACACATGAGTAAGTAATTAAGTAAACACAACACGCACCTGCAATAATGAAAAGGCACAACGTGGTCTTTCCGGACGACCGCATCTTGGCACTATCTGATTGCCACTACTTCAACGTTCCAAATATGTAGTAGTTCTGCAATATCTGAGTGTGTTTCCACGTTTATATATTTTTATAATTAATCGCTTTAAGATTTCATATAAATCCGCGTATCTGATCTAATCACACGATATGTTTTGGGTTGCCTTATAAAATATTACCACAAAACTGAACAAAAATCAACACGTTTTGTTTGTAATATGTTGTTGTGTATTGGGCAAATCACTTCGTTATGCCATATTTTAATCGCTTCTACCAAATGTTAACAGAACTAAGTAATGACAATAAAAGTGTTTAATAGAAATGTAGTATTGAAAATTTCTTCCATTTAGATATTTAGGTTATAATTCTTTAACTTTTATTTATGTAATTAATAATCGCTTTATTTAGTTTTTGCTCTTAGACAATTTTTGTTTCGTAAATATTATTTGCTTGTTGAGGAAAATAATTATCGAATGGCATTAAAGCACAAAGTTGTCATATTTATTGCAAAATAAATTAATACACAAATGCATGAAATCTCATCAGTAACAACATGATGGAACAGAAATGCATATAAATAATACTAACATAATGTGATGATGATCACAGCGACAACTTCCGAATAATCAATAGCTATATAACACAAGTATTTAGGCAAACAATCTCCTATGCCCGTAAACGTTTAAACGATAAGGTTGAAGATAAATTGGAATTCAATGTCAGAGACTTTGCGACAAACAACCAGACTCGAAAAGCAGCAATTTATGTTAAGTATAAAGATCCACAGCATACATCAGGTAAGGTGAAGAAGAGAAGCTGAAGTAGAAGCTTCATCACAGGTGTACAAGTGTTCCGCTTTGTGCAGCACAGTTGCTGTGGTACCTGTATGTGGATACGAATATATAAAATTACCGTTTTATTGAATTGGTTACTTTGGTATAATTCACATGGCTTCGTGCCACAGTAAATGCTGACCATCATTTTCGAGAATCGCAAATCATGCTAGAGAAGCTGGCACTCAAACAACTCTGGTTGGTGAACTGTTCCTTGCGATTGGTACTGCCAAATGGACGTTGGAAAAATTAGTAGAGCTATTAGTGAGCACTTGGAAGTTTAAATTCCGGTAAAGCAGTAAAGAACGCCTTTATGTCTTCTTCGATTTTCATGCAGCATACTTCTATAGCAAGGCTCAATAAATTGCCTATAGTAATATGTTGAGTTTTGATTATTAGTTTAGAGAAATATTCTGACTATCATATAATCTAAATAAAGTTTTTTTGTAATAATATAATTATTTAAATTTCATCATACTGCCACTTCACATAGATAAAAACCTAATATTATTAAGGTCATTTTCATCATCAATATATTATTAAAATATTCTGACTTTTCGGTAGTAACTAAATATTATAATTTATGAGATTAGTACAAATGCCAATAGTAACCATTTTTGTGGGAAATGCTTATAATCTGGCAACACTATTTTTTGTGAATGTATGTGTATACCGTTACAATGTAATATTGGAAACAAAGTACCTAACAAAAAATATATGTTTAAAATGCTGAGAAAGTTGGTCGATATATTTAAACTTTCGACTTTTTCGAATGTTAACGTTTAGGTTTAAGTTATCGGAATTATAACTTAACAAAATTGCTTTAATCAGCCCTAGCTAATAAATCGTCGGTTCTGAAACCGTATTATTACCGTTTGACTCCGCTAGATTGCGCTAGTAGTGAACATGCTGGGTTCCATTTAATACGACAAATCTGTTTCTGCTGCTTGAATTGAAAAACAAAAAAAAGTATTGATATTTTTTAATTCTAGCCCGGAGTTTAGAGAATTTCTAAATATCAACAACAGAGAAGTTAAAATAATACGATAGAAGATTCTGGTTCTTCTTTTTGGATGTTTCTTCTAATAGGATACCGTTATATTTATTTCGTTTTTAGTTCTTTACTAAAATTTTTAGTTATGACATTAAACAATACATGATGAGTTTCTATTTAAGTATCTAGTAGTAATAATATATAATAATAATGTTTATTGATAAACAAAATATGGTACACACTTATTATCTCATTCTTAAGATTAAAGTTTCGGGTAGAACAATATTTTTAATCAATAGATACTTGGATGCATTGATTTATTGGATGCATAAGATGGTTCATTCGAACAACTAAACAAGTTTCACCACTAAAACTGTGAACATTTCTTAAAAATGAAATTTTACAGAAAATTGAAATTTTAATTAATTAATTTTTAATATTTGCAAAATCGGAACGGAAAGTGTACAGTACAATACAAGACAAGAATTGCTGGTGTCCTCCTTAAAGTAAATTAACACACTTAAACGCTTTACAAATTACAAATTTTTAATAACGTGCTTATAATCATTTAAAATGTTTTATTTTAAGTTTAAATTTTAGAACTCAGCTATTTTTTTTATTGTAAATAGAACTTCAATGTCATCATAAGTTTGTGATTTAAGCCAAACTGTCGACTTTTTGCAATTGTATTTATTAAGCGGATGTATATTAATCATTCGGTGAATTTTATTATATTGAAAAGGACCAATAAAACAATGAAACTTTTTAATACACTAAGTCCTAAAGGAAATATTAGGACACAGTACAGTACTACAGTAGTATATATTACTAACTGTCCAGGTAGATGTTGTTTTGGTGACGAGATATGTTACATTTCGAATTAGAATATAATCTCCGTGTAAATATAAAATTTATTAATAACAACTGCTCCGATCGTGTCCAGATTTTGGGATTTTCTTTTTTTTAGTACTATACTAACGTAGGTTGTGAATATGAGTCATTCATTTCAGTTTATAAAGATGGAATTTGTTAACAATTTGACTACAGCGACACCAATCTGATCCTTATATAACAATTAAACCAACGTCTCGACAAAACAAATACACACATTGTGTGAATGATCTTAATCAGTCAAGTCGTTCCGAAGTTACGCGATCACTAACAGACGCAACAATGATAATATCTTGTTTAACGCTTAACTGCATCATTGGTCTTGTGATCGTTAATGTGGTTGTTGGTCATGAGGTCCCGGGTTCGTATCCTGGGTTGAGTTAAAATCAGTTACTAGGTTTTTCTGTCAAGAAATTTTCAGTAGCAGCCCGGAGGCAGGAAGTTGGCGGTGCCCCAACATCGTGCCTCGGAAAGCACGTAAAGCCGTTGGTCCTGCGCCTGATCTCTCTCCGGTCGTGTCGGGTTACCGTCCCATCCGACGATGAGAGAAAAAGCGAGAATAGAGAGTAATTTATACGTGGTTGTAGCACGAATGAGTCGGCCCGACCGAGATGGGACCACGCTCTCACAGAATAGCAGCGTGAAATAGCAACTGAATGTTGCTGTGTTTCGTATTGCGAGTGTAGAGAACCGGGAACCCATTTTACTGGAAACGAGGCATTCCATCTTAGTTGTCAGGGGTGACAACACGAGGATAAATGTAGATGTCTATGAGCCACATCACTCATTGTCACGTGGACTGCGAGTTTGTTTGTCACCATTATTCTATAAAAAAATCCTGACCTACGCAGATGGCTTAAATAGGAGGACATTATCATTGCCTAAAATATATCGCATAAAGATTATTAATACACGTATCGATAAGACCGTAAGACGGTAGAACTTTTTTTTTGACAAGAAGTAAATTTGGAAAGAAAAAAAAAACTTCTTAACTATATCTGCAGCCAAATAATTGGTGCATCTTGCTGTCATCATCATCATCAGACATATAGCTATCCAAAGGCGCGCCACTTAGCCCGATATTTGGCTTCTCGCATCCACTCGACAAGTTGTCACTTCTGCGACAGATCTGACCAAACCACTGTAACTTCAGTTTAAAACCACGGAACGGTTTGTTGGTGACCCTGGTTCCTCTGCGGAGTAGTTCATTACGAGTCTTATGCAGTAGTGATTTTTCCGGACTGATACGACTTAGGGACCTCCAAGAAATGAGTTTACTCTTTTCTTAAAGACCGTCACCGCACCTGCAATTCCTCCGGTGTTTTAGTGTTCATGTGCGGTGGTAGTCACTTAGCACATGGTGAGCCACATGCTAGTTTGCCCTCTTTTCTATAACAAAAGAGAAACCCTGAGAAACTTTTCATCACTCGCTGGGCGACTTTGAGACAAAGCTCACTGAACGAAGAAGGAAGCTGTACAGGCTTTGGGCATTCTATTTCTATCTAAGAAACAACCTTCATAAACCTTAAAGTACCCACCACATTTGTAGCTTCATTTTCTGCAATTTCTCATAGGTTTCATAGGTTCACTTGGAATGCACCTTAGGCACGGCACCAAGTGGATGCCGTGTCCCATATACACTAAATCTATCCCAGACTAAAAATCAAAATGTAGATGCGTTGTCGCCACTGAAGACTAGGGTTATATGCCTTGTCACCAGTATAAGGGGTCTAGCACATGGTAAATCAGCACTTGAAATTGTTAATTGCAATTTCAAGACGCGGATCGAACGTGGGTTACTCGAGGACCGTAAAATTTACAGTGAGTGTAAGTCATAGCCCAGTAAGGAGTATGATAAAAATCTTCCAATTCATGTATTGCAGTTGGCACATTCCTGGAAAAACTTATGTCTAGCCTTGGACATCAAAAGATCTTGAAAAAAAGAAGAGTTTGATTAATATGATAAATTGACAAACGTAAAAAATCTGGTATTTTCTGCGGCAACCGATAATTGCTTAATCCTTCAATATTTGCCAATTTATTTTTACGTAGTTTTGGAACTATTTTTACTGTCTCATTGCTCTAGTGGTCGTAAACGGTCTCGGGTTCTTAATCCCGGGTCGGGCCAAAATGCGGATAATGAGGTAGATTACTTGTATTCTGTCCAAAATACGGATAATGAGGTAGAATACTTGTATTCTGTCCAAAATACGGATAATGAGGTAGAATACTTGTATTCTGTCCAAATTCAGCCCATTCAAGTTATCAGTAGCAGAAGTTGACGG